ATATATATACTAAAATAAAATATAAATATATAGTAAATAATGCTATAATTAATAATAATTATACATATCTAAATTATTGTTTAGTATATAATTTAATTATATACTAAAAATATAAAGTAAATAATATATAGTAAATTATGACTTCATGCTTTATGACTTTTTTTTTATACACGTGACAATCATCCTGTTTGTTTAGTTATGCGTGTCAGGCAGTGTTATTTTAGTATCACTCATTATTACGTATTCATATTTTGCATTCGTTTTTATTTTACATTTTAATTTTTAGTTAAGGTTCTATTCATTTTATTTCTTGTCAATTGATAGTTTTTACTTATTTTATTTCTAGTTATTTTAAATGCTTTAAATTATCTGTGTATTTCAAAAACGTATAATAAAGCATAAATGTAAAACTCTTAATAAAATAATTTAATAAAGTTGAACGGATGAAATTAATAACATTTGAAAGTCAAGGAAACTTTTATAATGGGTAACACTTTACAATAAGGTGTCAATTGTTAACATTAGTTAATGTATTAACTAACATGAACAAACAATGAACAATACATTTATTACAGTATGTATTCATCTTTGTTAACGTTGGTTAATAAAAATACAGTCGTTCATTGTTAGTCCACAGTGCATTAACTAATGTTAACAAACACAACATGTGATTTTAATAATGCATTAGTAAATGCTGAAATTAACATTAACTAAGATATAGTAGTTAATAGTTATGTTATACCAATCCGTAACATATTTTGAGAAAAATGCTGAGAAATTGCCATTTGTGCATTTTATAATGACCTCAAACAAGTGGAAAAAGTTATATATATATATATTATTTTATTTATTTTTTTCTTCTTTTTAGATTTTCCAGTTTCATTTTCCATGCAATGCTACATTTCTCCAGACCTGATGAAGAAACAAACTCGTATTGGATGATCTGTGGGTGAGCACATTTTCAGAAAATGTTCATTTTTAGGAGAATTACTCCTTTAATAAATGCTTATGTTTGGCCTTTATAATAACTGTTGTTTATACGTGATATACTTTTTGCATTTTTCATTCCTGTTCTGTTCTGAATACCAATTCAAAGGTTTTGTTGTGAAGCGAGAGGAACTAAAATACACTTTTATAGTGTTTATAATGTTTGTAAACCTTTTATTTACTGTATTTTACATTATTTCTGATTTTTTTCTCTCTCTTAACAATGCAATTTTGCCCCAGTGTAACTTTATAGTCATGTGTGACTTATTTTCCATAAAATATGGTACTTGTTTTTTTATTGTAGTTGTATTTTATTCTTGATGGAGTGTCTGTATGTGTGCTGTAGTCTAAGTAAATGGCTGTAGGGTGTTGAATTCTCCAGATCCGGTGGTTTATTTGCAGGTCTCGGTGTTCACTGGTGTAATTGTTGTGAGACAGATATCTGATGTGTGCATTAACTCTAGTTCAGCAGGGCCCTGCAGGCTCCCAGGAGAATCGCGCTCTTGTTTTATATAGAGCGACTGTATGAGCGTTAACAGTCATATCTTACAGGCTGTTTTGTGTCAGTTAATTAACCTAATGGGATCCACCGAACACCCAGAGTCCAGCTAAAGCACAATAACTCACGCCTCACCCCTGCTGGTAGCTTTAGGAACTACACCCTTCTGCTGCCAAAGAGCATCTTTCTCTAGTGACGGATAATCAAGTATAAATGAAATATAAACCTTCTTCAAAACCGTCTGAATTAAATTGCATGGGTACAAATGTCTGAGCTCA